AAAGAGTGAGATTGAGATTTGCGTTGCTTCTCAATGAACCCAAGAACCTTTCATTCATCCATTGTACTGCTTTTGGCCATGTGTCATATATACACAATATATATATATATACATACATACATACATATGTATATGCATGTCAAATTCAAGATCATAAAATATTTATGTATCAGTATTATCTATATACTATACATGTATACCAATGTTTTAATATATATATATATATATTGTATTTGGTCAAATGACCTGATACCCAAATATATTGCAATATCAATTCGACAACGTATGCCATCCATGTATTTTCAAACTTGTTTCGCTTCTGTCCTTGTCACTGTCGTGGCATATTTTGGAGAGTTGAAGGACAACCCCAATGTCCTGTGCAATGGTGTGCCGCTACATCCCTTACTTTAAAAAAGGGTGCCTTTCCGAAATCATCACCTAGTTGTCCCCAACTATGTGTGGTTATGAGCTCTAGTCATATTTATCTATATTTTGGTAGGGTCCATCATTAAACAGTTGTGTCCGGATGGTCAAATCTGGTGTGCCCATAGGCCATAGATGATTGTATCAGAGATCATGGTATTGTTTGCACCAATCATCCCATTCTACCTTATCATACATTCCAGTGGATCCTGATCCCAATTCTGGATGCAAGTTTATGATGCCTAAAAATGGTGTTTTATTCCATTTTTTTCGACTGGTGAAACCAGTTCAATGGCCCATAAATTCTGTGAAAAGTCGATTCCGGGACCACGAAAATCGGCCGGTGGGCCCGGCTGGGCCCTGCTGGAGCTGTCAAAACCCCAATGGTGGTGAGTCGGATCCTCATAATAACTTTTAACGGTGTTTACCCTCTGGTAATTTAACATAGCTATGGAAAATCACCATTTTTAATGGGAAAATCCACTATATATGACCATTTTCAATAGCTATGTTAAATTACCAGAGGGTAATGATCTTTAATGGTGTTTCCTATTCCAAAAATGAAAAAAAACGCTGTGATGATTGCAAACACCTTGCATCGATACAGAAGTGGTTGTTTCAGGCAAGTAGACTCTTCTACACCCGGCATACACAAAGCATACGGATACAAGAAGCAATCAACTTGGTATGCCTCAAAGGTAGGGACCGACACGTACACAAGCTGGGGTGTCACGACGTCATGGGGGTCGCTCAGTCGATTTTTCGACAGTGGCGACCTCATGGGTTCACCCTGTTGCCGAAGCGGAACCCATCGGAACCCCCTGATTTTGGTTGATTGCAGGAGAGATGGGCCACCTGTCATATACCTGTCATTACCCCGCTGATTAGAGGGATTACTGATGATTACTGGATAACTGGCAAGGCCACCATAGATTCTTAGATTGTACATTCAAAATGGGGCCACTCCATTTTACGGGCCATGGCCATCAAGTTCTGACTTCTTGGAATTCAGATTTCTGTGGCAAGGTGGAGACAGCGCTATTGGGCACCATCCATTGGCATAATCTTGACCGCCCCCAAGTAATTGACGTGTCACAAGGTGACAGTGATATACGGTGATCATGCATCATTTTCATTATTTTTCAAAAGACGCAGGATTACTGTGGACACAACAATCCCAAGACGTTATTAGTATCACAGCAGTTCGGAAAACAACAAAATCGTTGCGGATAGTTGTGGAACTTTTGGCAACAGCTTTGTATCCTTTGTCATTTGCGGTCAAAAAAGCATTCCTCACCATGCGCGTGGTGCGCGTGGTGCATCTACCGGTCGAGCGCCCAAGTCGCCTATGATCCGAGTGTTGTAAGTGAGTCCAATGTGTTGGGACAACCTGATGTTACCCTCTGGTAATTTAACATAGCTATTGAAAATTGCTATTTATAGTGCATTTTCCCATTAAAAATGGTGATTTTCCATAGTTATGTTAGTTTACCAGAGGGTAGGAGATCAATTACTTTCTTCGAGTGATCCCCACCAAGTGATTTTTTTTTGACATATTTTCTGACATTCTATCTGGCATTCACATTTTAACTCTCATATTTTCTGGCAATCTATCTGGTGTATCTTCGGAGATTCTTTGCAGTTGAGGTCCGGTGGAGGCGGAGGCGGAGGCTAGCTGACATAAAATTCAACAACCCAAAAAAAGGGAAACAAAAAGGCTGGTTTCTGATGTTTTCTCATGTTTTTGCCTGAATTCCCGACTTTTTTTCATGTAGATGTATTAGAATGTATTAGATACATGTCGTTCCCGCCACAGGGGACTCATTTTTCACCAATGGCATGATGATCCCACATGACTTGTTTTTTAATGGCTTGAAACATTTGAAAGCACCAACTGCTTCTGGGCCCAAGGATTGTCAGGTTTTCGTGTGATGGGACCTGTACAGAGGATCACGGTCGCCTTGGGTCGCCCAAAAGCGTGTCGTTTCGTGTGGATTCCGTTCGCCTCGTTTCAGATGCCTCGACTGTGATTCAACAGGGGTTGGTAACTGTCCCATTTTGGGTATATTGGACATCACCTTATAGTAGCCATTATAGACCATCTACCTAATGGTTGGGTGATGTTCAATGGGGACATTTAATGACCCATGTTCAATTCCAAAAAAAAACTGGGATGGTTACCGGATGGTTCTGTTTTGGTTCTGAAATCACGTGGTTTTTCTTGGTATCATCCTTTATTTTCTAGTGCGATTTCGAAGGTCTGATTCTGAATGACTAATCATATCTGATCATACTGAATCATACTGATCTCCAGAATGGACATGCATCAAATTGATGCATCAAATTAATCAAATTGCATCAATATGGTTATTGGATGTTATTGGTTATATTTGGTTATATTTGGTTATGATTGCCATTCAACAAAAATTGGGGGCACTGGGCACTCTGAATTTCAGATTCTGGGAGGTGATGTGCCGACGTCGGGAAACTTTGCGAGAGGCCAACTTTGATGATGTTTGCCATGGAATTTGATGGATTTTTGAAGCCCAAATTTATGATGTTTAGAATTTTATTTAGATAGTTTTTGATATATTTAGTATCAGAAATATCACTTAACTTCAATTTTTTGGTTGGCGGCTCTGGCGGAGTTAGTGTTTTGTAAAGCCCAAACTCCTAACTTTGCTGGAAACAGTTTTCTCTCCGCACTGGAGAACTGCCAGATGAGTTCTCTGCCAATCTCGCAAGCACTTCGCGCGGAGTGCATGAAAAATTAGCACCTGCGGACGAAAGAATCATCGGGCTACCGGCTATGCCCCTAAAAGCGAAGATGCATTGAGGCCTTCTGGGCCAAGTGAACATGACCCAAAATTCCGAAATGTGATTCTCCATGTGATCCTCAGCAATTGCCTCCGAAAATGGCACCAGATTCTTCACGTGCGCAGGTGTAGGATTTGCTCCAAGCCCAGGGACAGGGTGACATGCCGTAGGAAGCGTCCAGTAGGTAGTCGCTGCTTGTCCCTGCTTGTCCATAATGTCGTGAGCTTCCACGATGTGAGGCTCTGTTTAGCATGGTTTCACGATTTTGGATGCTTGAAACTGGAACAAGTCCATGGAAATTGGTCCAAAACCTTACAGCGAGATCTACCTTTCAGACATTCGAGATATGTATAGTCGGTAGAGATATTAGATATGGGGATGGGTCAAAACCCTATCCCCCTGTAGTTCACATCAAAATAGCTGGGATTTATGGATGTTCATCCCCCTAAAAATGGTATGTATAGGTATTGATCCATAGCCATATGTCGTAATGTGATATTAAGTGTGGGGATTCTACAACTATGTACCCTCTGGTAATTTAACATAGCTATGGAAAATCACCATTTATAGTGGATTTTCCCATAAACAATGGTGATTTTCCATAGCTATGCTAAATTACCAGAGGGTAATCATTGTGTTTCTGGTTGATCCAAGAGCTCCGAAAAACAATCGTTTTTCTTCCAACCGCTTAGTTTTTTTGTTTTTTTCGAAGAACTTGGAAAGGTAGTGATATGGGGATGGGTCAAAACCTTGGTACCTAGTGAACCCCAAAATAGCTGGGATTTATGGATGTTCATCCCACTAAAAATGTATCTATAGGTATTGACCCATACCCATATTCCGTTCGATCATTAGGTTTCACCACTGGCTGTTGACCAATGGACTTGGACACCAGGCAATGGTATTCACCGCGGTCTTCACCGCGGTAGAAACGACGAGTCGGGAACCATCCTGTTTTTGGTTCCCCACAGTGGCCCACTGGCAGAAAAAGACGTGTTGATGGTATCAATGGATCTGAATCGCATGAAGCTACTTGGACTTAGCATCAACATGCATCAACTGTTTGGTGGCTTCTAAACTTTCTGTACAACCGGTAACCAGCAATTGTCTGGACGCGTTTTTTTTCTGGCGCGGCCAATGGTGAAGAAATGGTCCAAAGCAACCTTAGAGGTGAACAGGCTCAACCTATGCGTGGGGCGCTGTGTAGCGAGAGAGGAACAAACTGGCCATGCTGTGTCGAAGTTGGGGATATGTGGAGAGCATTGAGAGCATTTCAACCAGGTTTTGCAGGTCGGAAGGCAAGTTTTTTGGTGCAATCTTTCCTGCGAAAGAACTATAGAAATTATAGAAACGACATATCAACATATTGTGTCAACCAAGAAACAGTCCAAGAAACAGTCAGCTGGAATGCTCTATGGTGCCGTATGATACCCTACTGATTGGTTTTTGACCAAAATTGAATGGTTTTGGACAGACCTCTCAGGCGGTATGTCAACAGCTCGTCGAAAAGCCGTAAGCCGTAAGAAAAGGCTACCAACATAAAGGAAGACCTTGGAGATGTGCAAGATTCTACAGTTGTGTAAGTATATGATAATCATAACATATCCTAATATATCCTAATTATCATATCCTAATATATCCTAAGTATCATATCAGTATATCATATTATATCCTAATATATCCTAATTAGCAAGCTTCTGAATCAAGACATCGGCTTTCAAGTGGGATACACATGTGATACACATCAAAACCGGAGACTGAGGCTGTCGTTTTCAGCTTCTCAAACGGGCGCCGTGTGTCGCGCTCGCTGATCAGCGCGTTGCCATCGTTGCCATCGCCATGGCATTGAAGCGCATACAAAAAGAGCTGCAGGTACCATGGTGGGGAGTTCCACCGAGTCTCCATCCCAATGGGATGAAATATGGGTTATATTAAATATACTATATATTTAATATATATATATATTTAATATATATATATATTTAATATATATATATATATATTTAATATATATATATATATATTTAATATATATATATATTTAATATATATATATATTTAATATATATATAGAGAGAGATAGATTATAAACCATTAATAGGGTATCCCCAAATCCATGGGTTTATCATGATGTTTCCTACTATTTAAGGGTGGTTTCATCATGTTTCATCATGTTTCATCTACATGTTTCACATGTTTCATCTCTTTGGGATACGTCCCAAGTCTTGCTAGTTGAATGATGTTGAATGTCCCAAGACTTATGGTTGGATACCCTTTCTTGCCGAGCCCCACTGGTGGCCAAGTCATCTTAAGTCCCTTTTCTTCCGGCTGAATCATTGTTTTATGGTCAGTTCCTGTAGCCATGGGCAGTTCTGGCGCCCAAAAAAACGACCCCAAGGACTTGGGCAACGACCCGCCAGCGAATTGCTCCGCGGGCCCCGTGGGTGAGGATATGTTCAACTGGCAGGCGCAGATTTGAACAGTGAATCAGTGAAGAATTGAACATTCACCGACAAAGCACCAATAACAAGTCAATTGGAAGACGGTTTCAAAATCGAAAAGGAGTGCCCACTGAAATTCTTTTCACATCTTTTCACATCTTTTCACATCTTTTCACATCTTTTCACATCTTTTCACATCTTTTCACATCTTTTCACATCTTTTCACATCTTTTCACATCTTTTCACCAGTTTTGGAGGGATTGTTTGAAAATGTTTGGAGAGTTGCTGACCTGATGTTGACTTCGAAGACCTCTTGGTGCAGTTCATTGTGGCAACCTGTTGCTGGTTTTCGATGGTTTTCACGTTGGCAATGGGCCCTTCATGGCTGATTTTTGTGTGTCAGATGCTGCCGGTTTCGTTTTTGTGAAGATCTTCACAAGTTGGACACCGCTGCATCTGGATGATTTAAGTTGCGTTGTGCATGCCTATACCGTCAGATGAGTCATATATGTCATATTCATATTCACGCATATTCATCTGGTTGGTGGTTTTGTTATTTCTCATAATATATGGAATAATATATGAAGCCACCAACCAGTCATCATATTGCCTGAACTTCCAAGAAGTTCCATGCCCTGCGACCACCACGACCACCACGACCACCATTCCCGGCTGTTCGTTGGTGCCTTCCTGCGACCTCGAAAAAATTGAGGCGACGATCATGGGGCCGCCGGAAAGTGCGTACACCGGTGGCGTGTTCTTTCTGAACATCAACTTCCCATCGGATTACCCCTTCAAGCCACCGAAGGTGGGGCCTGGCACCATCAGCACCATCACCATCGCAAGAACCGTTAGTTTTGTTGTCTTTTTTGTAGATTGGGGATGGTTCAATCAATTTGGATCCGACATTCACTGATTAGCTAATGATATGGAATAGCCTATAGGGGCAAGCGACTTTTTTAAGTGGGTCAAGTCGGCCAAGTGATGACCCAAACCAAGTTACCCTCTGGTTATGTCAAAATAGCTATTGAAAATGGCCATAGAAATAGTGAGTTTTCCCATTAAAAATGGTGATTTTCCATAGCTATGTTAGTTTACCAGAGGGTAAATGATTTGGTACTGGATAGATGGATGAGTCTCTCTTCCTGGTTCCTGGGTGACTCTGAAACTTTGATCAACTGGAAAACCCCCCGGTGAGGTGCACTTCACCACGAAGATCTATCATTGCAATGTCAATTCGAATGGCGCCATCTGCCTAGACATTCTGAAGGACTGGCCCTGTCTGGCCCTGGAATGTGAGCACCATTCAAGATGACGAACATAGAACATACAAGCTGTCACTTGATGTCACTTGAACGTTTTTATCTGGTGTGCCGAGATATTTTGATGCTTTTTGACTTCAGCATAGAATCAGCTTGTAGCATATTTTAGCACATCAACAATCATATGTTAGCCAATGGCCAACAAGGTGCGACCAGTTCACAGCACCGGCGCGACTTATGATGCGACTTATGAAAGTTGCGCCCGCAGAATGGCTCATATCTGGACAAATTCAGCGACCGTCTTAACGATCTCACCATAAAATGCCACTCAAGAAGGAAAACCACCCCTGTATATATACTGATATATACTGTGTATATATATATATATAGAGTTGTATTTAACCGAGTTTAACTGTTCTTGATTATACATTTCTGCAAATCTTAGGTATAGATTCACACAATTCACACATACGATTTGCTGACAATGCGGAACACCCATGAAAAGTAGCAGGAAATTGGTCTCACCCAACAACCAGCTCCGATCACATTCCATCTGGCCAACAGCATGTCAGATTTTGTTGTGTCAACCCCCAGAAAGACAGAAAAGGTGTATGAAAAGGTTAGATGTTAGTTCAGATTTGCCGACATTTTTCTAGATCAACTAGATCAATTTCGTAGGACTAAAAAATGGATACTGTCATTGTGTTTTTTTGGGGCCAGCCGGCGATGTCAAGGTCCGTTTTTCGGGATCAGTGGGTCCAGGATCAGTGGAGCCCGGCGCTGACGATTTCGAAGGTCCTGCTGTCGATTTCGTCCTTGTTGACGGATCCCAATCCCAACGATCCCTTGGTTCCGGAGATTGCCCAGGCCACATGGGGAGATTGGAGAGGGCACAGGTGAAACATCAGCATTCATGATTGATGGATATTGATGGATATTCATGGTTTTTTTTGGGGGCTGGTTGAAGAAGAGTGAGCGAGTTGGATTGATTCATATTGATTCAAAGAGTGATCCTTTTGCCAGTCGAGCGATCCGGGTGATCCTGCCAGGAGACACATCATTTCTTCGGAGTAGAATTGTTTAGGTAGTTTCAATATGTTTCAATATGTTTCAACTGATGCTGTACGTCCACACTGGGAAGAACTGGATGAACTGAGCATTTTTCCGAACTTACGGTAACTTAACTTACGCATCTCAGTGACTTCTCATACTTCTCTCTGGAGGTAGGAGGTGCCCAGTTTTGGAACGGTGTTTTTGTATGGGAAACTCGTGCGAATTTTAGGCAGGCCAGAAATCTGGCCAGGGATGTTTGAGGTTGGTCATGTGGAAGCGATTTGTCAGCGTTTTCCCGAAGCCTGACCCCCCACAACTACGACCACCAAAAAAGTACCACGAACCACCCATGTATATCCATGCTTCCTTGCTTCCAAGACATTCCCGCCCCTCTAATGCCGGAACTTATGTGTTAACCAGGGCAACTATTTCTTTTCCTGGAATGCTGCTTCAAGTATAACCAAGGAAAAATGATCGCTAGCAAAATAACATGAATAAATATCAAAGCATGGTTTAATTCATGCTGTTTGCAACCATGATTATCAAGCAGTGATGATTTTTCATCACTGGGATGCTCCCAAAAAATATTCCCCTACGCATTTCTAGATCTTTCCAGGTCTACCTGAAGGATCGCTCCAAGCACGATCAGACAGCGCGCGACTGGGTGCAGAAATATGCCACCTGAGTTCTGCGGGTCAAGTCGGTGATGAGACTTGAGCGAGGGACGAACGTGGCGAACATGGCGAATGTGGCGAACGTGGCGAAAACGCCCGGGTAGCAAAGGGTTGCTGGAGACTTGCCATTTGTTTAGAGAGTCACAGAACATCAAAGTGATGAGGATTTCAAGATATTTAAGGCATTTTAAGGCACTAATTGGGAAGCAGGAGCACGAAAATCCGAGGTATATTGCTACATCCTTTGTGTGGAGATGGGCCAAATCCTGACTAGAAAACTGGCTAGATCTGAGTAGTTTTTTCCAAATCGTAGATGACTTGGAATGTTAAACCAAAGCAGTGTAGATCCTGGCAGACCCGGCAGAATGAGATCATGCCTTGGTCTGAGCTGGGGGATATATATATATAATATAATTATATATATATACACGATTATACACGTATGTATATATAAATATGTATATATACGTGTGTATATATATAATAAACTATATATATACTATATAATATATATAATATATATAATATATAATATATAATATATATATAATATATATAATATATATAATATATATAATATATATAATATATATAATATATATAATATATATAATATATATAATATATATAATATATATAATATATATATAATATATATAATATATATAATATAATATATATAATATATATAATATATATAATATATAATATATATAATATATATAATATATATAATATATATATATGTAATATATATATATATAATATAGATATATATGGGGCATGGTCATACGGTCATATCTACCTTAATACCAACTCAGGGCGTTGACTTCTTTTTTTTTCTCTCGGAGAATCGCATCGCATGTGGAGCAACCGGAGCAAGTCACCAGCCCGAGGGGTTCCCTTAGCATTTTGAGGGTGCGCGAGGACCAATTGGGATAGCCGTTCCCGCCGCCCCAGCTTCAGCCAAGCATTCCACCTGCGAAAAAGCGAAAAAAAACGGGGTAAGAACAGAGATTGGGATCAACATGTTGGCTATATGTTGGCTATGATAATATATCCCTAAGGATCCATGTATGGAATATTTACCTACATTGGGATTATTTTAAATTACTTTAGGGGTCAATGTAGGTAAATATTCCATACATGGATCCTCTGGGTATATATATATATATTATATATATATTTATATCCCTACAAGTGTTGGTCACATAGGGATCTAATTGCTTTCCTAGAAAAGCCGATGTCCTGATTTTGTTGGGCACCCTGGTATCACTAACCATTGCACAAAAAATCCCAAGGGTTTACTATATGTGTATATATGTGCATTTCTTCCTGCAAGGGGTCAATTCTGAAGCTGCTGGCCCTGGATTTGCTGAGAATAATAAAATGCTGGAGCTACCCGAAACACAAAAAAATCCTGGCCACTTGAAGCTTACATAAACCAATCTGCAACAAAACTCCTGAGTTTTGCGGATGGTAACCCTGGATTTTCCCTTGGTTTTGGACGTGACATTTTGGGGTAGCCATGAGATCACGAAAAGCATCTGACCTCGTGGAATGGAGATCAGTATCTCAGTATCCTAAACAGCCACGCATGGAATGTTGCTATTTGGGGGTATTTAGGGCCGGGTAGATATGGCAGTGTGTCAAAACCTTGTACCCCTGTAGTTCACATCAAAATAGCTGGGATTTATGGATGTTCATCCCCCTAAAAATGGTATTAATAGGTATTGGTCCATAGCCATATTGACCGATATTGACCTGGATGCCTTTTGGCAGAGCGGCCATCGATGATTGTAGCTATCCCCAAGGTTATCCATTAAACACATGGTAGTTGAAGGCAATTGACGGCTTTTTTTCCATAACTAGCCAGAAAAATTGGATCAAAACGGAGGTTTTTTGTACTGTATAGTCCATGATTTCACCACATTTCACCAAGTACAAACTGTAACAGCCCATAAATTGTGGTTTAACACCCCGTAAAATTCCATATATGAATTGGGTGGTCACTGTTGCAGCTTCAGCGTCGGCCGAGTCGTCCCGAGAGTTCGTGGGGGTAGATTTTTTTCTGTGGCCATGGACGAGAACGCCGCGGAACACGCTGCAGTCAAGGCCAAGGCCGATGTGAAAATGGCGGAAGTGTACCCCATGTGATAAAAAACATCATATACAATATAATATAGCCATAATATATAGCCACTATATAATATATTATATTATACTACATTAATACATTAATTGTATTATATTAATATTATATTATATCATATAATATTATATCATATCATATTATATTATATTGTATTATATCATATTATATTGCATTATATATTATATATAATAGTTGAAATATACCGACCCCTGAGCCCCACTATGTACAGCATAGGTAGTAGGTCTTATGTAGAGCATTGCCATAGCTATGAGTCCAACTGTAGTTCAATTTAGATACATCCAAAGCATGTACAGTATAAGCACCACTTACCTAGAAGCGTTAGGTAAGTAGAGGGTTGTAGGTAGAGGTAGGCTCCCCTTTTCCCCTAACCCAAACAACTACCTGGGTCAGGGGATTAACTCGTAGCGTTGCCGACCCTATGGCTCAAGTGCCCCGCGCAAAAAGGGGCATTTGGTTTTTGTTTTGTATGCAGGGTTTGGCGGATTGGTACCCCACCTTTTGGGTTTCTGGTTCGACCCCCTGTTTGTCTGGTTATCAGCCGTAAGGCTTGTTTTTCTGTTGGTTGGGGAACCTAATCCGTCAAACTTTGTTTAGGCCCTAACACTTCTTCGCACTTTCACTGTTCCATCTTGCATGCCCTCAGAAGGGTCGGAGGAGGTCACTGCTGATCACAGCGCGACTGAGACAACACCAGTGGGCGGATCCGAAGCGGCTGGCGAAGCAGAAGGTGTTGAGGAAAATCCTCCACTAACTGTTGACCCGGTAGCTGAGGACTCCAGAAACTGGGCCGACCTGTCTGAGGTATTGGAGGAGTCGACCGCGCCTTCTGGTGAAGCGACAGCAACTGGTCTTGTTCAGGTCAAAGAAGAGGAGTCAGAGCTTCAGGAGGCGCATTCGTTGGGTGCAGTTTTATCAGCAATAGGTCTGCCAGAGGAGGTCGCTGACGAGCCCGTCGCGACGGAGGAGAGTGCACTGGACTTTGAACAACCTTCAGATCAACCATTTTTGGAAGAACCGCTTCAAACGGACAATCCGGCCGAAGCTGCTTTCACGGACATTGATCGTGCAAAGGAGGAACAACAAGATCCAGATCACCTTTCTCCGGTACCTTCTCCTGACCAGGCCGAGTGCGAAGCTGAAACAACAGATCTTTTAGGGTTAGGCACTGAAGCGAGCCCAGTAGGAGTTGAGGCAGAAGTGGAAGCAAGGCCCACCTGCCGAAGCATCCGAAGCAGCCGTTGCATCCGAGCCCTTGGTCGCTGACACATCCGGTGTCGCGACAGAAGCCAACACTAATTGCCCCGGTGATATAGTCCCACCACCAACTAGTCCCAATCTTGTTGAACCTGGCACCGATCCTATCCAGGTAGGTCATTCCCCTGCAACTTCATCTAATCCCCCAAGGCAAAGGGTTAGATCAAGCCGGGGTGGTGCTCAAACCAGGTGGCAAGAAGCAAAGCGTGCTTGGTGGAACGACTTCGAGGCATACCAAAATTGGCTTCACCATAATTCCGGAGGGGATATCGTAGGTGGCTTTTGGCTAAGAAAGATATCTTACGAACACGCCGACGAAAGCACTCGCTGGTTGATAGCTCTTCATTCAAGACTTGTGGAGGAGTTCCCAACATCACAGTGTTTAGCCTTAGCCTACAACATCCTTATCCCTTACAAAGAGTGGGCTCACACCTACGGGTTGGACAGGCGTAGAGGTATCGTCCACGCACAGCAAGTGATTGATTCTGGTGAATTACCTCCAAAAAAAGTCATTAACCAACGAATCTTAGGGGCGGAGCACCCGCGCGCAGAAGAGTGGGACGTATATTATAGATATATAGGCCCACAGCAGCAACCCCGTCCAAAGGTGGTTAGGCCTGCTGCCCCAACACCTGTTGCTGGCGCGGCAAGTGGGAGCGCAGATCCAACTCCGGTCCAGCAAGGACCCAAAGAGCCTGGGCACCCACCGCCAAATTGGCAACCCTCATTGAGGGCACCAAACCATCCGGTCCAACCGCCGCGTCCAAGGGTTACTGTCTCTGTCCATCCAGCCCCACAAGCCCCAAAGTCAGGTTCTCAAGGGGTCGCTGCCTCTGGGCGCGACGTAGCACCAGTCCCAGTAGCTAGCCCTGCTAAGCCACCAGCTAAAGCTAGGCCCAAAGCTCCTGATTCTAGTGCCACAACCCTTGCAGATAGAGTTCGAAGTTTGCCACCTCCACCTAATAACATCGCCCCTAGTCCGCCCCCTCATAAACAACCACCTTTACCACCATTACCGCCTCCTAATTCACCACCACCTGGTGATAATTTTCCACCCCCACCATCTCATCCACCGCCAACTGCACAGGAGCTCGCTGCCCGCAGTTCCCAACGTGCAGAGGCGCGAGAAGAGGTTGCTCCAGCGGATCCCAACGATCCACCGCAAGAGGAGCAGGAGTGGGTTGCGGAAGAGGCGGAGGAAGAGGAAGTTTTAGAGGAGGACGAAGTGGTTGAAGTTGAGGTTGAGGCCGAAGCTGAACCCGAATTCCCTGACTTCACAACAACAGAGCACGGCCGTGAGGTTTCCACGCGCCGTCGTAGGCCTAAAAGAACTAGGTCCAATCCGCCATTGCCTGTCAATCTAGTCCCAAGGGAAACCCGTGAACGAATTGAACTTAATCAAGAACTTTATAGAGCCCGAGCCATAACCGGTGTTTCTAGAAGACCTCTTGCTTTAAGACCCCAAGTGCACGGTTACCCCGAAATTAGAATTGACTCCGCTGGCACCTGGGCTAGGGTCGCTGATCCTCCGATCGCGTACGCGCCACAGACTTTGCCTTTTATCATCCCTCACGCTGAGGCTCCAGAGCTTGGGGTCAACCCACACGAGCTTCCCGACTCGTTGTGGCGAGATCCTGCACTTAGATCCCATCGGACAGTTCTTGGTTCAAGTAATTTAGACCCCAATAGTGTCTATAACATTACCACCAACAACCCCGAGACCGAATCTGAGG